TGCCCATTCCTCTTCACAGCAAAGCCTGTGGTACACTATAAACTGTGACTGATGACAGCCTGGACAGAAAAGGCACTGGATGACTCACATTTCAAAAGTGTCTGAAAGCTTCCTTTTTGTGTGGATGTGTAACAACAAGCTGTTATCCAAGTGCTTGTTTCTCAGATAGTACCAAAGGCCACAGTTTGGTGATCACCTAGGTACCTGGGACTGGGGACCAGTTGATTTTGTGGAATTCAGTCCTAGCACCATGGCTGTATCTGTAACACAGACCAGGCTGGAAAACAGGGAACAAGATCATCAAAACTTAGACAAGCTCACCTTTATTTCATTTCACTGGGGAATTCATGTTTATGCCTTTGAATCTCATGGACCACTTGTGATCAGGCAGCACCTTGAATGACTAAGACATTGGAAAGATTTCTGCCGCACTGCAGTCAGCAGGATTCATAGAATCAAAACATAATTTGGGTTGGAAAAGACCTTTATGATCACTAAGTTAATCTAACACTGCCAAGTCCACCACTAAACCATGTCCCTACATCTTTATCCATGCAGAAAGTAGGGGTTCAGTCTACACCATTCATCTACATTTATCTAGACAGCAGGTTCTCATCTCGTATCCCAAGACAGGTAGGATGTCTTCTCTCTGAAACTGCTCATCCCTGCCTTGGATTATGGAGAAGACTGAGAAAATTGGTAAAATGCAGTTCCCTGACCCTTATGTAGAGCTGGCCAGCCAACTCAGGTCTTTCCTTTCGTTAAGTAGCTGAATGTTTACCCAGCTTCAGCTCTGTTCAGCATTCTGTTCTGCTCTTCTTGGCCATGCTATTTATTGCCAGCTGTATACAGGGGCACAGCTCGAGCTGCTGCAAACTGAGAAATACTCATGTGCTCATGCTGTGGCATGAGTGGGACAGGGAGAGGGGAGGCTTGTTGCTGTATTGGAAATATAGTTATGAACGTTGATAAAAGCAACTTGAATATTATCTTTGGCAATTATTATCAGTGTCCTGCTTCTCATGCCAAAGGCTGATAGATAAACCTGAGGGCTGTGTTGAAGGCAGACTCACAGAGCCATATCCACAAGGAGCTCAGTCCCACAGTACAGTGCCATAGAACCCTATTTGCAAAAAGCCAAATTCCTACCTTGTCTGTCTGCATACAGGGCTAGGAAAATCCCTCCTCCATGGGATGCTGAAGGCACAATTTTCTTCCTCTCCCTGCTCCAGCTCTCCACATGCTCCCACTCACAAGTCACATGTTGTCTCTCCATCTCTTCTCAATCTCGCTGCCTTTGGCTCTCTCAGACCATTTCTAGTTTGCTGCCTGGTCACACCTGTAGGAAGAAGGAGTTAGGCTCTGTGTTAGCACTCCCTAGGGCCAGATCTATATGTCACCATGGCTGTGAAATGCCTCTTAGTTAGGATAGTACATCTGTGATCCTGGAAGGATGAGAACAGCAGCAAAGACAATTGTCAGGCCTGCAACCCCATCCTTATGTCTGTAGCCTTCTGGACTCCAGAAAACCAATCCCAGAGCTGATCAGTATTCCCTTCACCCATTGCCTAGTCCCACAAGCTTCCAAGAGTAACAAGGCTCTCTCTCACTTTTGCTGTGTTAATAATTCTGTTTCTCCATATGCTGAATGTTTCACACCCATTCTGGGATCCAGGAACTAAGAAATGTTACACATATATAAAATTTCACCCAAAAAAAGTTGGCATGCCACAGAAGCCAGAGCACAAAAGTGTCCTGCTTTGGCTGTTGTAGGAGCCAGGAAGGAAATATGAAATTAATATTAAACTTTCCAAAGTCCCACATGGCACAAAGTGAGCCAGTTGTCACAGTTACAGTTACAGGGCAGCAAAGCTGAATTTAATGGCAAATTACATGACTTTCTGGAGGAGAATGCAATGATACTTCACATTATCCAGTGAATAAAACTGCCTGAAACACCCAACCTGATGCTTCATTCCAGCATCAAATGTTGTGGTTGAACTGCAAAACATCCTATCATGTCACAGGATTTACCAACTTCAATCTTATTTTCCGTATTTCAGTGAGAGTGCAAGGTAAAAATTCATTCCAGCAAGCCTAAGTCTTCTCAATTAGGTGGCTAATGGAAAGGCATGAGGTTCTTTAGAGAGCAATTCAGACTTCCACTGAAGTGAACTGCAGTTCTTAGAGGAGCAGAAATAGAGCAAGCTTTCACAAAAACTCCTGAAACAGATCAGAAGCTACTGTCTGCAAATGATCTAACAAATTCCCCACCAAGAATGAAATAGAAATGTGATAATAAGAAAAGCTACAATAACATGTTTATGTTTATTTCTTACATCCTCACTTTCTGATTTTGTTTTGTATTCTAAGTTATTATTCTTTCCCTCACCCTCTTCCCCTCCTTCCTGACACTCTTTTATTTCTATCACCAGATGCCTCTCCAATTTCTCATGTTCTCAGACACGCCTTTCTCCTCCCCTCCTTTTTCCTTCTGCTGTGAAAGCCGAGGGTCTCAACCTGGCCTGGTGTGCCTCTTCCTTAGCAGTGGTTTTTGGAGCAGTTTGTGGAAATATGCACTAGAGAAAACACAGTCCCCTTTCATAAAGCCTTCCATGGAGAAGGACTAGGAGTGACAGGTAGAGTAGCAGGATGAGAGGGGAGAAAAATTTCTGCATAGCCAATGCCCCTAAAGCGCAGAAATTCCAGAGCTAATCTCCACAACAGTTCTTTTCATACACAAAAAGAATGAGTCACTACACAGAGAGTATAAAAAGAAATCCAGAGAAATTCAATTTTTCTGTCATCCCATGAGGTCCATGGCTGGGGACAAGACTCTTAGGATTTTTTCCCACATTCTTGCCATCATGTTGAGACCAGGAGCCCTCCTCATGGACAGCAGCAGGGGCCATTGTCCTACCCACTCACCGCCATTCACTCCCAAGCACGAGCCCTCCACAGTGCAGGATGAGTCAGCTTCTATATCTTTCTCTCATTCATGTACCACTTTTCTCATCTTCCTACTCAGACCATCACACTCAAAGACTTCCTGCCTTGGCATTACAGGCATGCATTTATGCAGGATCCATACAGAGTACCACCATACAATGAATGCAGCTCTGTGTTCATCACCAGCACCTGGCCACTCTGTGGGGATAGCATCGTTGTGGCAGGCCTTGGACTTGTGTCAATACCATCAGCCCCTGTTTCTCTGTGACCTATAAAACTAAATCAGATGGGAAGGAGCTTCAGCCTGAGGAATTTACAGACCATTTCAAGAAGTTGAAAGTGAAACAAAGCATCTGAGCAATAGTGCAGCAGTGCTGTGGAAAACAACATTTCTGATTTCAGTTGATGGGTTTTGATACATACAGGCATCTTGGCAGCAGGTAGATCACACCAAAGGAGCTGAGACTGTAAAGTGCTCTCACCACCGTAAACAGATGAGATAAATAAATAAATAAGAGATAGATAAATAAGAGAAGCAAGGCAAAAAGACTGGTCATGTCAATGGTAAAAATGGACAGGAGTTAGGAGGAATAGGAAGAGGACAGAGAAGACAGAGACAGGCATGTTGGTGGTGAAGCTCTCAAAATTGTGGCTCCCAACAAGGTTTGCAAGGAAGAGGAACTCTAGACTGGTTCTATCCCACAGGAAAAAGGGTCCATCCACAACACCACTGTGTGTTTGTGGTAATAGTTACTGCATCCCCTCTCGCAGAGGGGTGTGACCTTCTGTCACCTTAATTACTACCCAGGTGCTGCTGCTTCCAGAGCAACAGAGAGAAGAGGTGAGAGCTGGTGGCTGGTGGGGGAAAGATGACCATTTTCACTTGCCTCACAGCAAGAGAGCCGTTGTGTTTGCCAGATGGATCAACACTTCTCTCTGCCCTCTCAGCTCGTAACAAGCCCATCCCAGCTGGGAAGAGCGCACAAGGAGAGGTTTCTCCTGGCAATGTCCATGAACTTGCCAAGAGACCCTGCAGTTCCCAGCAGCTTTGTGCTCTACATTCCTCAGGAAACTCCCTATTCCAAGGAGGCAGAATCCAGCAGAAAGCAGAGGACAGGAGGCAGCACACCCCACACGGAAGCAGCACACCCACGGATGTGCCTTCAGCAAGGCAAACTTAGTCTGAGGAAGCATTGGCTGAGCTGGGTCCTTGCTGCCTCCACTGCAAAGCCTTACCATGGCATTTGCTGAGGCTAAAAGTCATCATGGAAATGATCAAAACAGAAAAGTTGGTGGAGCTAGCAGGGAATCATCTATCAGTACACATTAAAAAGAATGATCAGCAAAAAAGCTTCTCCCTTCCAATGAGCAAATAATGATGGATGGTCAGATGAAAAATGAGTAAGAAGACAGAAGAGAAATTTTCAGTCCCTCCTGCAGCTCAGCAGTCATAAGTCTTCCATTAATTTTAGTTACAGAGGGATGATGTATTAATTAGGTTTTGCCCAAGGCATGTCACTTTAATTAAATATCTATTCAAACTAGAAAAACAGGAAAATGGTTTATTTTCTTTCCTAATTCCTTATCAAGAGCTTAATATTTTCTTACATAATTTCAAAGAATAACAAACAACTTTTATTAGAAGTGAAATCTGAAATCCTTAATGAGGCACAGAAATTAAATCAAAGCACGGAGTTGTAGAATACGTGGTTTACAAAGATTGGTCACATATTTAATTGTGAAACTATCAGCTTGTTTAAATAGTTACATATTTTATATTTGACGTTTGCTGAAATCCCCCACAGTGTTTGAAATATCACAGTGCCTTCTGTGAGCCTTCAATTGCAGAATTGTGTAATGACTGGTGACATATCAATGCTTCCAGGAGGATCTGACCTGCTTCAAAACGAGACAGCCTGCCAGGTAGAAGCAGGGTTCAAATTACTGGGATATGACTCAGCTCCTTCATTCCCACTGCCCTTGGCTATGAAATACAGAAATACAAAAGCAGTGGGATGAGCCATTTCACATCTGAGTTGTAGGTGCTTGAACTAACCCCCCAAAACTGATGCCAGAGTTCCCTGCCTAGAGCACAGAGAAGGAGTGCATCAGAGACAGGTGTCCTCAAGGGCCTTCGGAGGAAGAGGATGTGCCTGCACACGTCTGTCTTATCAGTGACATGAGAGAGAGGTAATATCCCTGTGGAGATCCTAAAATTAAAATATTATTTGACCTTTGGGTCTTCCCCAATCACTTTACAAGAGTACTTTGCTATTATTTTTTTTCAGCAGAGAGCCGAGTGTCTCTGCCCAAAAAGGCTGTTCCTGCCTCCCTTGCCCTGTATACCATGAGATACTCTTAAGCATCCAGGAATTTTCCGTAGGAAGAGAAGAGGAAGGCTCCTGTTTAGAGGAATATAATTGCAACTAAGGTAATATGTGTACAAGGTGCCCAAAAGCCAGACAGCTTTGTGAGCTGTTCACTGTGGGGGTGAGGGGGCTGCAAACTAATAGAACTATTTTATATAGAACCTTGTGTAATGGAGCCAGGGATCCTACAAAGACATCTACACTAAGCAAGTGATGAAGTCCTAAACCTGAACTTTTACAGAAACCTTCAGTTCACTTTTAACAGATTCCCACCAGCAGGAACATGAAAAAAACTTTAAATAGAAAATAAATGTGCTTTCTGGCTGTGCTGTTCTCAGGGGGGAAAGGGAGGGACAAAAAAAGAAAAAACATACATTAAATGTAGAAAAATTACTGTCACTGGTTAGCATGAAACTCTTCAGAATGAAAGCTGAAAAGGGCCTATCTAAGGAGTCTGGTTACAATGTCTGTGATAAATTGCATCTATTCATACTTTGCATTTATTTTTGCAGTCCAACGTCATTCATTTGGCCCTTGTCATTCATGCCTTTCAAAAAGCAGTTTGATTATTTGTATTTATTCCTTAGTAGAGGGACTTCAGTAAAGTTCATGAAAAAGAAACTAATATAATGCTTTGATCTTTTTGGATAACTTAATCAAATCTGTTCTTGAAAGCTGTATGTGAAAAAAACCTGGCATCTCAAGGCTGATGAAGAAGATGAATACATTTTCCACAACACATCAACCACTGACACTTTCCCCATGCATTTATCAGAAGGGAAGTTGCATAAAATCTTGCTGTCTGTCATTCTTATTAAACCAGCTAACAAAGAAGGTCACTTGCCAGCAAAACTGAGCAAAGCTGAGCTCTGAAACACTCAGTGTCTTTCTCCAGCCACTGCAGTATTGTGTGGGAAGCTTCCTCCTGAGGAATTTTACATATATATATATATATAAAAATATATATATATATATATATGCTTGCTCTCAATAGGGCCAGCCATATGCTGTTAAGAAAAGAGAAGATAAAATCAAGCAATGCATTTTCTCTCATGATTTTCTTTTAAAAAGACATTATTTTATATGTGTGTATGGTGCACCTAGCCAGCAAGTTAGCCAGGGCTGCCCCTATTTCTTTTTGCTTTTGGTTTTCTCCACTTTTCCTGAACTTCTGTCTTTTCATATTGATAAGCAAGAAAACCACCTCATCTCCTCAGTACTGCTCTTGTCTCCCTGACTCCAGGACTAACTGGCCTGACAGCAAAACCCTTCAGCTATTCTTCACCCTTATTCTCTCAACTACACTGCATCAGTGATGAAAAATAACACAAGACCTCAGTAGCATTGCACATAGCTTCAAATGAAGGAGAAAAACTGAGGCCAATGCCCATGTAGGATATGTTGTGCGGTCCTGACTAGGCAGGGACAGCCTTCAGTTTTCTCACAGAAGGTTTGGAACCTGCTGGGGGGGTGTCTTAGAGAGCAACTAAGAGAAGAGAGCTTGTGGTCTGTCCTTCAGGCAGCAAGCCAGGGAGGATGCACACGTAGCCAGTGACACCGGGGATATTCCAAAGCAGATAAGGTTAGGTACCAGTAAAAGCACCTGCAGAATTCCTTACAGAAAGCTGGTGAAGGACTTTTTTGGGGAAGGGGTGAGGTGGTTGTGTGACAAGTAGAAAATGAAGAGAGTTCTCAAATGGCCAAAGGTGGCAGAACAAGGGATATTTGAGCTGCTGCATGGTGCCCAGGTAAAAAGACTGGCAGCAAAACATGGCCATCTACTAGCGACAAAAACCAGATACAAAGAACAGATGCAGAAAAGGATAATTTGTATTTATGTATGCATCTGAAGTGTCACTTTCTAAAATCTCTTGGTTGGTAGCATACATGCATGCAGATGCAATAAGTCAGTGGAGGTAGAAGAGATTGTGCCTACCTGGGATCACAGTGAGAACTCATACCTATGTGGCTTTGCCCAAAGCACCTCAGTTTAAAAAAACTGCTTTAAAACTACCATGGCTTTCCTGCTAGAATGCAGACATCTTTTCAGAAATAGAAAGGACCTGGCCATCATGACAGGATGTCAGCTAAATGCAAATCCAGGAGTTTTGTCCTGCACAGCAAGGTCAATCCAGAGGCTGAAAATCAGCACCAACAGCTGCACTGAGCTTCAGAGGAGATTTACTCACCTACTCACAAAATCATTGTGTTTGTCCTCAGGTATAATTGTGTAGGTGATCAATGCCACTGAAAACCTGACAAGACACCATGCACACTTGAAATGGAGCCACCTCTGAGTGAAAAAAAAAAAAAATATTAGGCATCTTCATTTTAATCCCTTTAATCTTTGGACCTCAGCAGATGTAGTGAGAAAAGGGTAAATTGAGTTTTGGGAGGTTTTCTTTTTCAAAGATGATTGATCAAAAGATGTGGACTTGTCTTACATGGAGTTTCTTGCATTCTTTTTTGTTCTAAAAGGAACATCCTTAGGAAATAACTCTCTTGGTCATGATTTGGTGCAAGGAATTGCATAGTTAGGGATGTAATTGTGCTCTCTGAAAAAGTTACAGGAAGGAGGGAGAGAAATAACTATTTTCTTTTGCTTAGAATATCTATTTTTAAAATTATCTACTACCTATAATGAAAAATCCCTAATACAGACTAGCATAAGAGTCCCAGATATAACAGTGCTTGCCTCTTAAGTTAATCAAAGCAGGAATGTTTCCTACTGAATGGAATATAGAATTGTGCAAAGGATTTTGTCAGATATTTGCAGAATTGTTAAGGTCATATATTTGGACATGGCCTCATTACAGAGATGTCTAAGAGTTATGATAAGAAATAGATTCCTTGCTATAAACCACATAATGCTCCAAAACTGCTTTTTTTTTTTTTTTTTTTTTTCCCCTGGGCACTGCTGATAACTATACATAATCAAAGCTGATTCTCCTCACCAGATGTACAAGAATCCTCCACTTCAGATGTATTATTTGTAAAGCATTAAGGATCCAGAATTAGATCAGCTATTCTTGAAACAGGTACCATCTATACCTTTACTGGTAAGACACAGTTTTCCCTCCACTTACCTTCCACCTCTGAACACTGTGGACAAAAAAAAAGACCTGACAGAGCCTGCAGCATTTTTCCTCTAGTAACTCAGAGGACAGGATTTTTGCTGTGCAGAGGTGCAAAACTTTCAAGAGCATGCAATTGTCATGGCTCAGTTCTTTGTGGCCAAGTTCAGATATTTCTTACAACTCTGATGCAAACATTTTGCCTTAGAAGTCAGCCCCTCCAGGAGGTCACAGATAGAAGGGGTAACTCACACAATGGAAACTGCTGAATGGGAATTGCTGCTGGCCCATGTGCTTGTCCACACTTATGCAGGGGAGATGACCAGGCTTGACCTGAACTAAAAATTCCTTTTGAAAAATAATCAGTGAGGGGAGAAAATCAAGAACAAGCTCAGTTGTGTCTAACAAGAAAGTGCTGGCCATGCTTTGAGAAGTAGGTTGCACTAAGTTGCTTCCAGCCTGCATCATTCATGATCCTGTTCATAGCTCCTAGTGATACTTCTGCTCAACTCTCATGGACACAAAATCAAGGAAATTCACTTCAAATCAGCTCAGAACATCAAGAATTGCTAGGCACAGTGTTTGCCAATGCAAACAATGAACTGTAGGGAAATGGATGAGGCTAATTAAGCCAAGCTATGGGAAAGGACCAGGAGCTTCCATTACTGGGAACACATTTCCAAGGGTTTGGTCAGCTTGCAGCATGAGTGCCCTGGCTGGCAAAAGGGCCAAGGGAGGGGCAGAAGAAAGATTGTCCTAGACTTCAAAACTGCCCTAGTACTTCAAACTCTAACAGTGGTTAGGGTTAAACTCTAACACCAACCCTTAGGTTTCCTAGTGAAGGCAGGTTCTTTGTCTTAATTTGGCACTGCTTAGTGATCTGCAGTGCTGACCTCGCCGAAGAGGGAGCTGCATTCAGCTACAACTAGCTTATAAGAGAGAAAATAATAAATCTGCCTTTATTTGAGCACAAAACATCTTCCTGAACAAGAAGAAAAAGGATGATTCCACAAAATTGGCATGGCTTTACTTTCATGCTGCTTTTCTACTTCAAGCTCTGTTGTACCTGTTAAAATTTGATCCACTGGAGAGCAAATATGTGTTTTAAGTGAGGTGGAAATTAAAGTAATGATTCTTAAACAACAAAGTAGCTTCTGATTTGGTTCCAGGCAATCTGGAGAAAGGTGAACACCTTGTTGTTGAGAAAGATGAACACCTTGTTGTTGATAAAGCTTTCAAAAGGAAATAACTGAAAACAATTGTTGTGATTTAATCCCACCTGGCAATTAAGTACCAAGCAGCCGCTCATATTTCCCTCCATACCCTTCTCTCTGGAGGAGAGGAGAATCTGAAAGAAAAGGTAAACCCCGTGGATTGTGATGAGAACAATTTAATAACTGAAACAAAATATAATAATTATAATACTGATTGTAATGATGAGGAGAAAGAGAGAGAGTGACAGAAGCAAAACAAGTAACGCACAATACAATTGCTCACCACCCACTGACCAATGCCCCAAACTGAACCTGGCCCCAAGCAGTGATCAAAACCCTTCAGGTAACTCTCCCATCTTGTATACTGGGCATGATGTTCTGTGGTGTGGAATAGCCCTTCTGCCAGTTCAGGTCGCCTGTCCTGGCCCTGTTCCCTCCCAGTTTCTTTTGCAGGTCCTCACTGGCAGAGCATGAGACACTGAAAATCCTTGACTTGGGATAAGCACTACTTAGCAACAGCCAAAACATCAGTGTGTTCTTGACATTATTCTCATACTGAATCAAAATCACAGCACTGCAACAGGTCCTCAGAACAAAATAAACTCTGGCTGGTCCCAAACCAGGGTAACAATCTAGCTGGTCTTGCTCACGTATGCCACAGGTGGCCTGAAAAATGCTCTGCATTCTTTTCTTGGAAATACTTCTATTGGAGCTAGAATAGCTTTTTAAAAAAATCAAAATTTTAATTGCTTCTCTTATTTTAGTAAATCCGTTTTGTGCCAGTGCCTGTAGAAGACAGATGCTCTATGCTTTGCTATGCCAGGGAATGCAGAAGGAAACATGAGCAGGTTTCAGGAAGAATGAAAACAAACACACAAGGCTGGGCCCACCGAGCAATGCAGGTGCCATGTGTCTGTAAAATGAGGAACTGATTTGCAATTCTGCAAACCTTCACAAAAATTGCTAAAAGGGCACAGAAGATTAGAAAAATTTTAAGAAAAACTGATTTCTGATGTTGGATTTCTCCTCTTTTCTCCTAACTTTCTTCCCAATCCCACCTCGCTCGAAGAACTGAGCAGCTGCCAACAGCAAAAAGTTAAAGGTGTAAACTAAAGGGTTATCTCAGGAACACAGCTGCCGTGGAAAGCGTGTTACACTTGCAAAACATTTGAAGAATACTAGTTTAGACCATCAAACTCATTTGGATGCACACTTAGAAGTAGTGATGCATGCATCGACCTATATGCTTTGTCACCACAGGCAACAGAGAGAAAGTTGGAAAAAAGTTTAGGTCTTGTATTTTCTTAGCTGCCTTGATTACTGTTCTTCTTCTGGGTTATTGTTAGAGTTGCATTAGGAAAGTCCAATTTAAGTGTGGGTTGCCTAGACAGTCCAATCTTCCCTTGAACTGTTCTGGCAGCAGTCAGAGTTCTCCTCTTTCTGGTGAAGTGGACACCCCATGAAGTGACTCTTCTGATATCTTTTTTCCAGCATCTTCCTGAAAAGATGTTGATTTCAGAATGACACCTGGGATTCCAGTGTGTGCCTGACAGGTCAGGCACTGGTAGTGACATGTCCTGATCTGCTGGTGATGTCAAGAATGACTCAAATTCTCATCCCTCTGCTTACCCAAGGACCATGATTGCTTAGAGCCAGCTTGTTTCTTTCCTAGAACAAATTGAAACATATTCTTGAAGTGTTCCTTGTTATTAGTAGTAGTATTCAGTATTCTGGATACTCTAGCAATGTTTGAAAAAAACACTAAAAGTAGAAAAAATACTTGTAATTTTTAAACTAGTCAAACTATGTTGGCATGTACTGTGGAGCATCATTTTAAAGTGACAGCAGTCTGTAAGGGCAGGGCAGAGGGCCCTGTGGACTCTTCCTCTCCATCCCAATTTAGGGACAAATCTTTATACCTGCAACAATTTCCTTTTTTTCCAACTTCTGCTAAAGACACTGTAAAAGAAGTTAATTTCCTTCTCCTCTCTTCAGCAGTGCTTCAGAGCAAATTGTAGCATAGTGCAGCTTTATAGGACAGCAATTTCAGTGGGAAGCTTACAACAGATGGAAACCATGAGCTCCTTCCCTTTTTAATATTCTTATTTGGAGAATCAAGAGTCTTGCTTAAAATGCAAAGAAAACAATAATCCAGAAGAAAGTAGTCTTGTGCCACCAGCATCACTGGGAAAATGAAAGAATAGCAAAATTCATTAAGGTGAAGAAATATAAAGTGTTTTTATTAAAAATGAAAAAAGAAACAAACAAAACTCACCAAACAAACCTTTCTAAACAGTTTTAGGGGGAAAAGACTTCAGATATAGAAAGTCAAAAAAACCCCACAAGACAAATACACAGCCATGTGCCAGTCTATTTGTAGTCATAAGAACCCAGATGAAGTCAACTCAATGTAAATAAACCCATAAACTAACTTCAGGACACACTTCACTTCCTCAAGCACCTGCTGCTGCCCTAAGGGAGAACAGCTAGGGAGCACACAGCAGCATCCTGGGAAAGATGCAGCAGATAACAGAGGAAAGCGCATTTTACCCCTCCTGTTTGCCTTTGTTAGTATTTAATGACGAAATTTTATGGGTTTTTTTCACCTTAGGACGCTCACCCCCCTCACCACAGACACTGGAAGGTGCTCAGCTTATGAACAGCAAGTCAACGTGTTGGTCTCTTCCTGTTGCAGAGCTCAGCCCCTGACACACAAAGCAGTGCTTAAGCTCTGCCCTGGCCACCTCTAAGATATTGGTATGGATCCATCATTACCACATTCATTTGTTCACACAAAGTCTCTTTGTGAAAAGGGAGCATTTTCCCATTTCAAAGGCAGAAGGAAAAGCCAAGAGGTACATTTGCAGATTTCAAGTCCTCACAGAGACCCAAAGTCAGACCTTTGAGCAGCCGGTATGAAACAGTAATTTTCGTGCACAGTCTGAAAAAAAATCTCCCCCGACCAACGTTTCAGCTCTTAGCATGCTGGCTCTGACCCACAGTTCAGCTATCTAGAAAATAAAGAGCAAGGAAAACTTGACTGAAAAACATTCACATGTTGCATCTATGGCAGAGGCAGGGCCAGGATACAGCTCTCCAGGGAAGCACTGGGGCTGTTGCTGCATGCTCCCTGTTTTGCCAAATGCACACCAGCCAACACTTCCCACAAAATGCAGTTTATAATCCCAGCCTTATGGGCTTTTAAGAAAGTATTGCAGAGATTTTTTCTTCAAGGTTTTATATGAGAAATCCTAGAAACTATGTATAAATCATTCCCTGCTGACTTTCAGTGAATGCAAATATAGAGTTCCCTGATAGAATTAAACTCTTAATGCACAGATAAAATGGAAATGGGGAAACACTTCTCCTAAGATTTGGAGAATATGGGAATAACTTGGAAAAATTCTACCTGGGTCACTCACAGAGCATTAGTCTCTACCACTGTTACATACACAGGTAGTTTTTGCATCCCATCTGTATTTTTTTTTCTGTGTCAGAGAAATATAAATATCTTCTGTCTTTCAGTGGCCACTGCTCAGTTCTCAGTTCGTGAGATAATGTTCCCTGTTTAGAGGTGGAACAGATCCTAATGTCCATCCTGAAGACACTTCAAAGGCCTCTCAGCACACAGACATTTGGCACTTCTGTATCCAGCATCTACCAGTGCTTGAGTTAAAAGAAACATGGCAAGTGATCACACTTCTGCAATAACCCAAAATTTTACTTTTGCCTTGGCAACTGCAGGAGAGTGGAGGCTTTGCCTGGACCTCAGTGTATTTTTAAGTTGTGCAGAGATCCTGGGGTTTGTGTGCTGTAGTAGATGGATTCTTTGTTCATCCATTTGTGTGAATAATACATGAATGAAGGACACATGAGGCTCCTTGGGCCATAATGAAAATATGTCCATTATAGCTTCCTGATTGATTCTTGAACTTCAGCCTGACAACACAAACAAACAGGATAAACAGTGCAAAAACAAAACCAAAGCTGATCAGTTGGCACTCCTCCACTGCCAGCCTCCCCAGAAGAGTACTGACATGTATTATTGCTGCAAGTGTCTCTCCAAGCCCAGATCCAAAGTTATTATGTAGACTTTGGAATGCTTTCAGTAATGCCCTATTATTCACAGAATTAACTACTGAATAGCATCCTCAAATGCCATTGTATGAACTTTGCATCCAAAAGCATCTAATTATTCAGTCCAACAGCCCACTCAAGCACATAGCAACTCCTCTCTTCAGTGTTTGCAACAAGAGAGACACAGGAGAGCTGCTTTGAACTGTCAGCCTTGGATTTCCACAGCTGCTTTAAAGTCCTGATGTGAAAGCAGGGTACTGCATATAATGCCTGGCCATAAGCTGTCTCCATTTGGAATTTTCTCTCCAAGGATGCTACTCAGACAACAATGAAAAAAGCAAAGCAATTGCTGTTGGAAAAACTCATCTCCAGGCTGGTTGAAGAAAATGTTGATGTCCCTCACCCTCCCACAAAGGAATGAACAGAAAGACTCTTGGAGTGCTCAGTTCCTTCATGAGCCACCTGCACCATGTGTCTTTGTCAAAAAAAAAAAAAAAAAAAAAAAAAAGAAGACCCACTTCCTAGTCATGTGATTTTTATAGCTATTCCACACTGATTGTGTTTTTTGGCATGGTTGGTATCCAAAGCTGCGTGTTGTAAATCAAGCCATGCTACATGGCCAGTAAACCAAAATGTCACTCTGATTAATGGGTCAGTGAGCCCACACAGCGTGCTGTAAACTAAACTTAGGTTTATAATCCTTTTCAATTGCAAATGTGTCTTATGTCTCTGTTGTGAAGGTATGGTCATGCAAACCTTGATCTTCATGCAAACTTTGAAGGTCAAGCAGAGGATGCTGATAAGCCATCCTTGCTACAGAAGTGAGTCATTAACTACGCTCATCTTCCAGTGTTAAATTTTCTGCCTATGAAAATCAGACGAGGGCATGATGTAGCACTTATTCCCCGTATTGCCCACAGCCAGTTGCTGCTTTTCAGTCCAATATTCTTGCCACAGGATGTTCCTGGTGTTCTTTGCTTAGAGGGAGCTCAGCACCTTAGGAGGACAGGAGTTGCACTGTACATAGGAGACCTGAGCAACCAGCAAAGGCCACAAGAGCTGTAAATGTGGGAGAACCTCCCATCTCCTCCTTCTTCCTGACCCCACCAGGCCCCTGTGTCAGAACCAATGCTCCCAAGCAGCTGTCAGCAGCATCTTCCTTCTGTGGAAATGTCCATCTTGCAGTCAGTCAAGGCAACAGCTCCTGATCAGGCCCACAACAGCTCCTGAGCCAAACCCTTGTTCCAGCAGTGCATCCTGTATCATATTTTGTGGCTTAGTCACCCCTTAGAACTGAGAGCCATTAGGTTTTGGGTGAAATATCCTAATGGATGTAGATGATGAAGAAGGTCTCCTCTTGGCTGGTAATACAGCTGATCCCCTGAAGGCAGCTTCGGTCTCCTGCTGTCACAAGCTTCCATCTCTTGAAATCTCTTTATAGTTGCAACAGTATCAAAGTGCAGCCTTTGGAGCCAGCTTTTCCATAGGGTAAATGGATAGCTGTGAGTGGATGCTTTTTTCAGTTATTGTTGTCTGAAAGTTTTAGCAAAAATGAGAAAGGGCCATATAGGTTCAAGTATTTGCAGATTGAAGAGGATGTAGAAAACATGTCTCTTATTTCCTGACTAAGAACTCAAAGAAACTAATATAATCTTTTCTCACACCCTCTCTTCCGAAGAGCAGAAGAGAAGGCCCCAATTTATGAAATCAAAGAGCAGGTATAAATACCACAGTAGCAGGTAGAGAGTTAATTCAGGAATAGCTTCAGTTCTTTCTCATTTCCTCACTCAGACTGATGAAGGATGCTAATCCCACGTTGAGGCACCCAGCCCTCACTGCTTAGGCACCACTCAGCCTCGTGAATTCGCCTCCTGGAGACACCAGTTCTGTTCTGGGCACTGCAGCACTTGAATCTCATACCATGGAAGTCCGCCTTTCACACCCTTCTTCAGACAGCCACAGGAAGAGAGTTTTATTTTTGCTGCTAAAGATGCTCTAAAGTCTTCTGGCTTGAAGCATGTTGGCAAGGTCTACCAACCTTCATGCTAGAGAGACACCAGAATAGAATATAAAAATTCATGAAGTGGCTGAGAAATATAAAAGACTGCTTTAAAAGGAAATAAAGAAGCTGGTTTAGAAGAATACCCTGTGCTCTTCTGGGTAAGTAGGTTATTGCTGCATTTTTTTTGAAAAATGCATACTTTAAACATTATTTCCAGCTACCAGGAAAATAATACTGTAAAATGCTAAGACTTTGCCAAACAGAAATGGGGCAGATGGCCAAAGGACATAGAAGAGGGAAGAATCAACAATAATCTTTGTATTAACAATAAACTTTGTATCAAGAATTACCTCTAATAAATACAGCAATTAAGCAAGAGAACTTCTAATATGCTTATATGAGCTGCTTTTCTCCCTTGTGCAGCGTCACAGCAATAGCTGCACATATCCTGATTATTCCTTCCTTGTGCCTTCTTTCTTGATAATGCTGTCTCTGTGCCATGGTTTCAGCTTTCATTAATTTCCTTCCTTTCTCCAAGGGAAGTTACATTCCCAGTGCCTCTTTTCAAAGCATGCATTAGGTTATTGCGCCCATAACTTCATTTAGCAGTAGTTCTTTCAGACTGTGATCCACAGTCCCCTTGGAATGGAAGAGCTCTTTGAACCATGTTATTTAGCTCTTGCTTGGCTGGACTTAAATAAAAAAAAAAAACCTGAAGGAGCACACAGTCTCTCAGTCCTAACCTCATATCTCATGTGGTGCTTCACTGCATTATGCATAAATAGTGACCTCCTGCAGTGTGGTCAGGAGCAGAGCTGTACAGATAATGCTGGGATGTGCCACGGTGGAGTAATGAGGCTTCAGCACCAAAGCCTTTAGAAAAGCCTTTATGAGGTGAACTGAAACTTTGCTGACGGACAGCAAAACTGATGGAGGGGACAATAGTTGGGGTGCAAGAATACAAGAGGAAAGGTAATGAATTAAAATTAATTCTTTAAATATATAGGAATTTAATCCTCCATGTTTGACTATTTCCTTCCAAGAAACCAGGGATGTGGGACTTCTAATTTCTTTTACTGATTGGGAATCTTTTATCACTTGAGTGAAAATTACATTGACTTTTTATACAGAACCTGAGAAACCCTGTGTGCCATGTAACTCTAGCAGAGCAGAGTAGAAGTCCTGCAGTAATACTAAAAGCATTAAAAATTGAGTTTTTACTGAATAAAACATGACCATGAATAATGTAGTCTGCACAGTATTTCTTGTGTTATTAATTTGATGGTAAGTTTAATTAACTTAATGCTGCCCTAAATTTTAATTTTCCTTCTGCTGCAGAATCTCAAGCTGGGAATGCCAAAGGGCTTTACAGAAGTTTTAGAGAAAACACTGAGTGTTGGTGAGAGTGAAAAGAGGACAGCTGGAGTTGCTGGGGATGTAAGGCATGGGCAACTGTACAGGGAAGTGGAGCATAAATTTTAATTTTATTAATTGAATTTATTAATTTACTAATTAATTAATTTCTTTAATTAATTTTATTTGTTAATTTTATTAATTTTTATGTAATTTAAATTTTTTTGGTTCTTACAAAACCACCAGTAATTAAATAAAATGCAAGGCTAATGTTGGGAAGGCGGGTGGATGCACACCACAGAATTTATTTCTTACAGCAGCTGCAGCAAGCTGAGGTAGACTAGGAGGATCTGGAGTGCCTCGTGAGCCTGTGCTTAAGGAGGGTTGCCAACTGAGATGCATGTTTTTGGAGTCACATGATGATTAATGTTCCAAGGAAAATTTACATTTCTGAGCCCGGTTCGGTGGCCAACTCATCATGAGCCCCGCAGAGATGAGACGTATCAGCAGGCAGCATGGAGGGCCTTTTTCATGAGGAGAATCTCCAAAGGGAAGCAGGCTCTAGCAGCAGGGACTATCATTAATAAAATGGTCTCTTCCCAGTTGCTTGGATGTGAGTGTCCTGCTGATGCAGCACCGAGCTCTTGGCAATGCTGCAATCTGACAGGTTTTATTCCCCAGGGGATTTACTCACAGGGCTGCAATCATCCTCCTGTAGCTCACACTGGTGTCTTTGGGTAGGTATACCCAGGCACTAAGGGTCTGCAGTCTTCACTTGTTCTCTAGGCACTGAGATGCATCCCAGGAAGGAATATTCAGAAAATTACATTTTATTTATATGTTTGTTTGGTAGGGCTCCAGCTATGTCAGGCTAGAGCCAGCCTACACAAAGGGCAAGAGTCTGACTGCTTTAAATCCAAGGAGGCCCAAGGTGGTCCAAGAGCTGCCATTCAGAAGGGAAGGGACTGAGGTAAATTCAGAGTTACTCTGTGTACTCTATTCTAGCCACTAAATTTTATATGGTTCAGTAAATCTGAGTACACAAGATATATTTATGTGATCCTTCAAATCTTTCTCGGATTTTCTGTTGCAAGGAGAAACACAGCCTGCTGTATTGCAGACCTGCTTTCTAGCAAGCTTCCCCCATTTCTTCAAAGTTTCCATTGGTAAATTAAGTAGCTGTGTTGCTGGCTGGCTGCCAAGCAGCTCTTTACGTTCACAGTTACAAAACAGGATCCTCCTAAAAAGGAGCTGTCACTGACAGCCAAGAAATTACTTTTGTCTAGATAACAGTATATTTGGCTTTTTGAAGAATCAACCCTTTTGCCCTGGTTTTCCACAGTGGAGCACAATTCCAGCATTCTCATGCGCATCTGTCTTACTAGGTTTTGATTCCCAACCTTTATCCTTCCAGCATCACATCAAAAATTCTTGGTCCCCATCTTCAGCCAGTTGGTGAGTCTCTCTCTTCCAGGTCCTCCCAGAACTGGAGTTTTACTGTGAGGGAGAAAAGCCACCACAGTTTTCTCCCTGTTCCTCTCTGTCATGGTACATATCCCTCTGAGACAGACATGGCCTGGTGGCTACTTCCATGAGCAAGGGGATATTCAACATGCCTGCTGTCAGCCAGAAAATAGAGAAAAACCTCTCATATTAATTCCTCATATTACACATGGCTTATAGCTTGTACAGTAATAGGAAATATAAGCTAAGAGCTTAAAAACGTTTCATGTTGCTATTTCCACTTTGCCTTTTCAGGGACAGAAGAACCTTTCAGCTCTCAGTGGATTAATGATTTGTTTGTGATCTCACAGAGAGCTTCAGAGATCTGCCACAGTAGTGTGAGTGTTTCCCATATGGACAAGGCAGGACCTTCCCCATGCTCAGAGATCCTTCAGGAGTGGGGCTGATAGAGGGACCTGGGGCAGATTAAAATCGAGAAGGGATCCCACAAAGACCTTAAAGAAGGGTTTGAATACTAATTTATTTAATCTGTCTTGGAATGTGGAGCGTGAGCTAGACAAGCAAGCATGGCCAAGTACAGAGCAAGAAGGAGACACGATTTTGGAATAAATCAGCAAAATTTAGTT